CCCAAGGGGAAGAGGCGGGGTGCCCGCCCGCCGTCGGGGCTGGCTGCGCCCTCGGCCGGGCCGAGCTGCCGGGGCAGGCTGAGCTCCGCCCCGGGGGGCAGCGCGTTTCCCGTGCAGGCATTACAGCCCCGAGCCGTGGCCACGGGCGCCGCGAGGTGTCGGCCCCTGCCCCCACAAACAAGTGCCGATTGCCCCTTTGTGAACGTGTTCTGCGCGATTCAGATCAATCCTGGAGACCCGGCGGTGATCTCTGCTCTGCAGGGAGCGCCTGTGCTCCGCTTGTATCCATTATTTTAATGAAAGCAGGATTCACACCGCCCAGGGGGGCGGCTTTTCTATATTTTTTTGCTAGAATGGGCAATGAATGAAAAATCGATATTCACAGGAGGCAAAATGCAGGTTCTAATCCAGACGAATAGCCCCGGCCGCCTACCCCTGCCAGGTCCCCCTGCACCGCTAAATACTAGGAATATATTTCTGTAATTGCTCGAGTGTCTTTAATCTCCACAAATCACGTAACCCCTGGGGACGCATTCTCCCTGCTAAGCTCTCAGTATCAAAGTATCCAGCAGTCACTACGGGTAGACTGAACCCAGCGTGTGCTCCTTGGAAGAAGAGGAGGGACGGCAGGGCGAAGTTCCAGATCTCTAAATTAATAATACGCAAATCGAAATATTGCACAGGCTGAGAGAAAGATTCATTGAACAGGTCCAGGAAAAAGAAAATCCCAAAGTCCTGTCCCCTCAGCCTACTGGAAGGACAAGCGATTCCCTGGCACTTCGCAGAAGAGTGAGCTAAACTAATAAACCGGTGCAGCACACGGGGGACTTCTTTAGCATATCCAAATATGAGGGGGGAGGGAGAGGTGGACAATGCCGTCTCAAAGGGAAGTTTTCGGAATCTTTAAAGCTTGGATATGACTACACTTCATGACTCTCCGTTTGCTCCCCCGTCGCTTAAGCACCATCCAGCAGCTCCTGAACACAAAATACATTTATACCCTCGTAAAAGAGAGGCAACCAGATGACCTCGCCGTCTGTTTGTCAGTACCATGTCTGGCTTTACAGAGCATCATATGACTTGAGACACAAAGCGGATGCAGCGCTCAAGGAGGCTTCATAAACCTTTGCATGGCTTTCTTTTCTTATTTTCAAGTAGCTGAAAGAAAGCCAGACAAAGGTTTGTGAAGCCCTTTCCCCCCCAAAGCATCATCTGCTCTGTTTTGCACCATTTTTTATAAATGTTATTACTCACATGTATATGTGAGTAATAACTAGAGAGACCGAAACATTAGATCAAACCAAACTTTAGTTTGTCAGAAATAAAGATGTCTATTGAAGTTTTTAATTCCATACCGGATAGTCAAAGGATGAGTTAAAATTGAGACAAGCTACCCTTCAACTGATGCATATTATGCCAAGAGATGTAATTCCTGCAGAATGACTGCAATGATCTAATAACACTGATCGCTAAAAACTGACTTGAATGTATTTTTATCTTGTAAAAAAAGCTTTTGAAAGTTTCATTTCTCTGTTAACTGATGCTCATATTTCCCCCTTTTCTAAGAATGTATCCAAAACAAACACGAGAGGATCATTTAAAAAAATTAAATAAACCAATAAAGTCGTCTTTAAAAAAATCCTCCCCACTTCATGTTTTCGATCACTATCACACCTACTGTCTTTTTTTTCCCGTAGTTGCTAAACACATTTTTAACGACGAAAAACCCAGGACAAGACGCGTATTTCTGCGCAAGCATTTACGTGGGCTTTCAATTTGAACGCTGGAAAAAACCAAGAACCTTTCTGTCTGAACACATCGAGCCATGTCTCGCCAGCAGTTTTCCAGAAGAAACCCAGGCCCATTTCAGATCTGTTTAAAACCTGGCGGCAAAACTTGTGCAGCTCCAAGTGAATGCTATGTTATAATATTAATGTTTAAAATGTTGCTTTATACTTGCGAACCGACTATGCAAAGAGCAGTTAACACGAAAGCTCAGAGAACTAATTAGCAGTTAAATAGAGAATAGCGCTTTGTGAGCTAATTGGCAGTTAAATAGCATTCAAAAGACCACACTGCAACAGCATAAGCGGGCCTTTAGCATCTTAAATACAAACGCCTCAAACTGTAAAGTACAAAAGAGCCAGAAGAGTGTATTTCATTGCCAAAGAAAAAGCCAGCCTTGATCGATTAGGAAAACGTCTGGTTAGACGTTTAAAAAGGGCTTTTTTTAAAAAAGATTAGATTTACAAAGAAGCACTTTATTCCCGAAATTAAGAAATACGAGTCTCATACGGAGAATATCATCTACTTTTTTTTTTTAATACCTAACAGAGCTCTTAGCACAATATGCCATACATTTGGAAATCACCCGTCTGTATACCATCAATGTGTCTAATAGGACTGCCAGTCCGGGTGCCAAATGCAAACTGCCCGCACTATTGTTTCTGCTCAGGGCGGGAGAGCAGGAGCACGAAGGGCTATTTTAATGTGAAAGTACAGTATCTAGTGCTATTTTTAACTCGCTGTTATAGTTATTTTCTAACCCTTAGGTCCCTATTTTGAAAAAAATGGGAGAGAAAAGAAATGTGGGGGTTAACAAGTAAGTTATAGTTTTGTCGGTGGTGGTTTATTATAACGGGGGGACATTCCTGATTTGATCTCAAAAATCTTCATTATTTATATCTGAATAAATATGTCCTCATATTTTTTTCTGATTCCCTTCAAAGCTTTAGCCTAACTAAACTCCCATTCAATGGGATTTATTTAGTCGTTTGAAAGATAAATCAGTGGGTAAATTTACAGCCATTTAAAGTACCTTGACTTTATAATAGGACCTTCATTTAGTGTTGCTCTTCTCCCGAATGACGTGGATGCAAAGTGGTGGGCCAGAGTGCCAATCGATTGGCCAATCCGAGCTGCCCCAGTAGAGGACTCGTCCAATCGGAGCGTGCTCCTCGCAGGTGGCTGTGCGGTTATCTGTGCATCTTGTACTGCTCGGGGCTCAGCTCCGAGTCAATTTCCCAGGGAAGGACCTGCCTGTGAGCACCGGAAAACAACCCGACCCACCCCTGCGATTCCTCTGATTTCCTAGTGGATTTGCAATCTGGGCGCAGAAACCAAAGCCAACCAGGACATTGGCAGCTGAGGTCTGTTTTAACCAAGACTTTTTTTTTTTTTTCCCGAGACTCCTTTGCAATATTTTTCGGTCTCACTTTTTTTTTTTTTAAGCTACAGACTGAAACTTTAACGCGTGCGTTGCTGTTGTCGCAGGTCCTGGCAGAGCAGAGGCGATTGCTTCGCTACTCCGCACAAACTTTGCTACTTTGACTTGAAAGCAGGAAAAAAAAAAAAAGACTAAAGAGCCCGTCCCTGGCGCGCGTCTCCTGTGGGTTTAAGAATACAGCAGCTGGCTCGTTTTAAAAGAAGTATTTATTGATGCTCACAAATGTTAGCGGTGGGGCAGATGGATACTAATCGCCAGAGTGCATTCGTGCTGAGCAGTACACCGCTGGCTGCTCTGCATAACATGGCTGAAATGAAGACGTCTCTATTCCCCTACACCCTGCAGAATCCCTCCAGCTTCAAGACACCAACCCTCGGCGGACTGAACACACAGATCCCCTTGGGGACGCCGCACGGAATAAGCGATATCCTGGGGAGACCTGTTGGAGCTGCCAGTAACCTCCTTAGCGGGCTGCCCCGGATTAATGGACTGGCTACCTCAGCAGGGATGTATTTTAACCCAGCAGCTGTGTCCAGGTACCCAAAGCCCTTGGCGGAGCTGCCTGGGCGACCTCCCATATTCTGGCCGGGAGTTATGCAGGGCTCTCCCTGGAGAGATCCTCGACTCGCCTGTCCTGGTAAGTGAGCTCACATCTGATTGTAGCCGGGCAAAGGGGGAGGGGGCCGTCGTTTCTTTATTTCTATCCTACATTTAGACTCTATTAAGATCCCTGAAGTAAAAAAATAATTTTGAAATACACCCCCCCCCCCAAGTCGCCCCTGGTCATATTTTAATGCCCGGCTGCGGGAGATGATTGCTGGGGATAAAGTCCATCTCTTTGGAGCTATCAGAAGGAGCTCCTTTGGGGTGGGTGGGGAAGAGCATTTACAGAAAAGAACGGATATAAACGCGTGTCTGCAGCCGACCCAAGGGACGTAAAACACAGGGCCATGTGGTGGTATGTGAACCACGGTCTCGTAGCCCAGCGCTGGTCTCTAGGACGGGCTGAAACGCTGCAATCCGACTTGATGACATTCTTGCTTGCATTTGGATGCGGCTTCAGCAGCTCTGTGCTGCTTTTGAACTCCCAGGGCTAAAATCTGCTCCCACCTCCGGAGTCATTCCGCTGAACCCGACCGAGCTGTTCCTTGCTCTCGTTTTCCGAGGGCGAGCAGATTTTGGCCCTAAGATTAGATGCAAGAGCTAGTGAGTGACGGAGATATTTTGTCCTGTGTTTTCAGCCCAGACGGGAATGGTTCTGGACAAAGACGGAAAGAAGAAACATTCACGACCAACTTTCTCAGGGCAGCAGATTTTTGCTTTGGAGAAAACCTTTGAACAAACGAAATACTTGGCAGGCCCAGAGAGAGCTCGTCTCGCCTACTCGTTAGGAATGACAGAAAGTCAAGTCAAGGTAAGACGCTCTCTACCACATCAAAAGCCCTGCCCGCACGGCACCTCTCGGAGCAATGGATTCACACACGTTGAAAGGGAATCGGGCCCGCACTGGAGCAGAGCTGCTTCTTCACCTGGGGTTTAGGCTCCCACGTTGGGACGGGAGATAGCATTGAAATGCCCAAGTTCTTTAGTTCAGAAGAGTGATAGTCTCTATTTTCTGGACAACACAATTAGAGCTTTTCACTCTTAGTTTAAAATATCGCCAATAAAGTATTAAACAAAAGTCCAGGGGGAATTTACGGCTATTCCTTATTAAAATTAGGTGCATTTCATATAGTTTTTCTTTTTTCTTACAAGTAGTTTCACCTTATCTTTAACAAAGCGAGTCCCTAGATTGCAAGTTAGTGCAAATAAACCTACTCAAGTGAAATGGTTTCATATTTATCAATACTCCAGTGAGTTCCCTAGGTGCGGTTAGTCTGAGTGTAATTTTTGTTTAACCGCAAGAAACACTGGGAAATGTTTCTAGTTGTGCTGTATGTTGTACACACTGTTACATGCAATTTTATGAGTTAGAATAGGTCTTTTCTTGACCAGGCCATTTCATGCTAGGGACCAATACAGTTTCCCAATGCTACCAACATTTAATTTGAGAAACAGTTAATTCTATCTACAATGCAAAAAAAAAAAAAAATGTAAAAAGAGCCAGGAGCGGGACACAGCACTGGCACTTTATTGTCATTTTCCCTCCTTACGTTGTTAAACAGCAACGATGCGTTTGAATCAGCTATGTCATGGGGAAGGGAGCACAACTGCCCTAAACAAACCTTTCTCTCCAGTTCCTCTCTTGCAGTTGAGCCAGTTCTTAATACTCTGCGTGGTGCTGGTTGGCTCACCTGACTGTTAATAGTTAAAAGTGACGGTCATAGATAGTGAATTTTATTAGGGCTAACATGAGCCTGCCGGATTGCTATTGAATGCATGAAGGTGAAAGGCCTGCTTAAGTTTGCACTCAACTTCCCTTTTTCAAACAGGAGTAACCCAGGACAAGCAACAGTTGCGGAGGGCAAGAGAAACTAAGGGTGCTGGGTGTAAGAAAGGGGAGGGCAGGTGTCGTGTTGGAAGGACATTCACAGCTAAGGGGCTTTCCCCGTCTTCTGCCCGGTCCCAACAGGTGTGGTTCCAGAACAGGAGGACGAAGTGGAGAAAGAGGCACGCAGCAGAAATGGCCTCGGCTAAGAAGAAACACGATTCAGAGACTGAGAAGCTGAAGGAGAGCTCGGACAATGAGGACGATGACGAATATAACAAACCTCTGGACCCCAACTCAGACGATGAGAAAATCACGAGGTTATTGAAAAAGCACAAATCCACAAACTTAGCCCTCATCAGCCCCTGCAGCACCAACTCGGACACGTTGTGATACAGGGCGAGAGCCGCTGGCCCGTGAGACTGACTGCTCCCCAAGGCGCTTTAGAGAAGCTGAAATAACCAGGGTATAAAACATTATAAAGAAGAATTGTAACTGGATGTTTAAAGTGATGTGTTGTACAGCCTAAGATGTATGTGAAATGTATATATTTTTTACAGAATAAGTTATGAAATTATCTTCCTTCTCATTGATGTAAATTACAGAGGAATCTTTCCAACTTTCCCTTTTGTTTTGCTTAATAGTCTCCCCCTTTCTTTTCTCCTTTCTGCCGATGTCCTGCTCCTAACAATCAGATTTTGTTACCGTTTTGTATGGATCGCCGACTCCAGCTCAGCCACTTTGTATATAGTAAAGTTCAGATTTTGTGATGTATATTTCTAGTGTAAAAATGGCTGTTTTATTTCACGCCCTCCTCTTTTACTCAGTGTTCTGGCGGTTTTATTTCTTCTCTGGACCTGATGCTCCATTACATTAAAAAAACAAACAACCCAACAACAACCAAAAAAACTACAGAGGGAGAAAGACAGAGATGTGGCTACTGATTTTAAATTGGATTTGAAGTATTACTGTCTCCATGGCGGTTGGAAAGACTTTGTATAAATCAATAAATTATTTAACAAACTTCTCTTTTAGAGAGTTTTCCCCCCATTTTTTTTCTTTTTTTTTTTTTGCTTTAATTTTCCCTCTTGCCCAACCCCCGGGCTGTTCCAGCGCAAAGGGCCAGTGCATTTGTGGGGCAGGAGCGGCCCGGGTTTACAAAGGGGAGATAATCCCAGTGGGAAAGAGCGCGGGGTTGTTATAGAAACAGCGATGCTTTCCAGCGCGGTTTTGTTTTGAAGCCTCCGCCGGCCCCACTAATATTTCCCGGGGTTTAGTAAAGCTAGGAGCGCTGCCCAACTGTTGCAGGGGCGCCTCGAGCAGCTGAGCCGCCGGCGCCCGTTTGCTCCCTCCCCGCTTGGCTCGGACCCGCTCCCGTGCCCCAGAGCCCCGCGTGCGCGGGCCAAGCCCGGACTGCTGCCACTTGGCGTCCCGGAGTGCCCAGGGCCTGCCCTCGCTCCCGCAGCAGGCCCCGCTCCGCGCCTCACCTACTGCACCTTCCAGCACGCCGGCATGCGCCCCAAAGCGGGGCTGCTGCCCAGCCTCCTGCTGCAGCCGCCCGAAGGGACCACGGGGTCTAGCCCCCTCCCAGCAGCCCCGGCGGCCGGCCGCTGGCGGGGCCCGTCCCATACCAGCGCTTTGCAAGACAGCTGGGAGCAGAGGTGTGCAGGAACGGCCTCCAGTAAGATGCAGGCCCCGCTCCCGGGATTTGTAGCCAGTAAAGCAGCTCGCTTGGAAGCCGAGACTCCCAGAGCCACAGGCAGTGTTGCTGCCCGTGCAAATGGCCCGGCGCTGCTTTGGTGCTAGGATCGCTGTCGTCTGCCCCACAGGGAGCGCAGTGCAGAGGCACGGGACGATCCGGCCTCCCGGACAGAACCAGCCCCGCTCCGCGGGAGGCTGCGGGCAAAGCCGGCGAGCAACTGGGACCAGCGGGACGGACAACGGCCCGGGCCTTCTTGAGAAGGTACCAGCTCCCTCGCCACTCACTCGCTTTATTATCGTACATCAAGAGTTTGCGTTTTTCCCCCCACGCTTTTTAACAACTCACGTCGGGGCACGAGGTAGTTCTCCAGCAGAACAGGTGCAAAAGGCCTTGCTCACGCTTGGTTTTGCCAGAACAGAGAAGGGAAACCCTCAGTATATTTGTGCCATTAGTACAGGAAAAAGATGGCATCAAACGGAGTAAGTGCATGTGAGCGTTTTTAACAGCCTGTGAGGTCGAAGGGCAGCGCCTCTCTGCAGAGGGCTCCTCCGGCGAGCACCGGCTGGAGGGGAGAGAAGGAGCCCGGAGCGCCGGGCGGGGGTTCAGGCAACTGGTTAGAAAAGCTCAACCTTCGTGCTGAGCCGGCACTGGGACAGCCACCAGAGGAGCAGGATTTAACTTAGGTGCTCGGCAAGTCCCTCAACGCCTTTGTAAGTGTTCCAGGTTTGGTTTGCTTGTGTACATAAAACTTGCAACAGTGTGTGTGTACATACATATATATATGCATATATATATATATATTCACTATGTGCGCTTATCCACATGTATCCTGTGTACTCTCTGTTCATCGTATTTTGTACCAAATACACAAGCACGCACATCTGGCCCGCGCCGCGCACAGCCGGGCTCGCCGGGTGAGACTTCTTCCGTTTCAGCAGCAGGTTCAATGCGCGGCGCCCACATATTCACGCGCGGGGGGAAATGAAACAGTGGCTAACACTCCGCACCACCCACTGCTTTCCTTGGGGCGCGGGCCCGAGGCAGAAGCCAAGGGCTGCTGTGTCTGTTCCTACCAGCACAATAGTCAAAAAACCCGGATTTTTTCCTTTTTTTTTTGGTGCCGCGTTTATAGAAACAAGCGAGGGGGCAGTGAGACAGCAGCTCTTGTCAGTCCGCCTAACTCGCGCTTTGCAGTTAGGGGATAGCAATGATTTGACAGGAGACCTCAGGCTTGGGCTGGACACAGGCAGCGCCGCCGGAGCGGAGGGTTAAAAGCATCGGCTCTGCTCCCGGGAGAAAGATGCTCTCGCAGCGCTCCCCCGGGTCGTGCGGGGCAGACGACCCGCAAGCTCCCCTTCTTATGTGTTTGTATCTGGGAGCTGTGAGTATTCAAGGCCCTTCTGAGCCCGACTCAGTTTCAGGCTGGGTTGCTTTTTTTGAATGAATGAGACATTCTTTCTGCTGCTCAGCTGCTGTTTTGCAAGCTGAGCCATGCAACGGGCTGCACAGCGAAGCCAAGCGGGCCCCTGCTTGCCTGCCAGGCAGCCGGGGACAGTACAGAGACGGGAAGCCGGCTCCCAAAGGCTGGGAGGCCGCCCCCGGCCCCGGGAAGCTGCAGCCGCGCTCACTTCAAAGGCAGCAGCTGGCCGGAGCAGCGCCAGGACAGCGCGGCTCCTCGCGCATCGCAGCGGCGCCGGCTCCAGCTGCGGCGGGAGAAGAGCCGCGTCCTGCGCCCTGGCTCGGCCCCGCGGCCCGGCCCCA